AAACTATTATCAGCAAGAGGAAGTCCTACACCAAGATTGCAAAGAGGGTTACTAAAAATGCAACCATACAAGTTCACTGTTCAATAGACCCCTTTCACAATTACGTCACACGGTGTTTGAAAGAGAGACGAGCGCTTGGAGTCGAGGCAACTGATGTAGTCCGCTGTCCGAACGTTCGGGCCTCTTTAGACATCTACAGAGTCGATTATATATTTCTACGTTTAAGAATTTTTTACGCCCGATTTTTCATTGAAATGGATGCATTCAAATTGTTGCTGCCGAAGGAAAAGAAAGTTGATTGTTTAGAAGATCTTGGCGCATTGACTATTAAAGAATTGAAGCATATTCTTGTAGCATACAGGGAGAAAACTTCCGGTGTCAAAACCGACCTTATTCTTCGTGCATATGCGGTCTTGTGTCGTGCAAAGAATTTCAATTCTCAATCCAATGACATTTCAGATGAGTCCTCCTTACTTTGTCACGAAAATGATTTCACATTTCAGGCTATTTATGATCAGTGCAAGCACCTTCCTTGGACAGCTGACTTACGTGGAACACCCCCTTTTACTTTTCTGCAGCTCTATGAATATTTGGTTATTCGAACATCAAAATTCAAGCACATCCTTCTTAAGAGTACTGCCTACAAGAAACTGAAAGCATTTCAGTTTTTCTTCGAAGGCTTTATAAAAAAGATCGATGTAGCTAAGAACAAGGAGTTTACTTTCTTCAATGTTCGTGTCAAGGCATCTATGAAAAAGGTTCTCTATAAAGTAATTTTAAAGCATTCAAATATTTCTGGTGATGTTTGCTCTGCTGCCTGTTCTTGTCCTGCTGGCATTGGTCTTGGTGGCTTTGGAAACTGCAACCATGTTGGTGGAGTTCTCTTTGCCCTGGAAGATTTTAACCGGCGTGGTCTTCAAGGATTTGAATCAGCAGTTTCCTGCACATCAAAATTATCCTCATGGAATGTGCCAAATGCCTCTTCCCTTCGGTCCTTTAATCCAGTTTCAATTGATGAAGTCGTGATAAAGAAGATTAAGTTTGGAAGGAATTATGATGGTTATGATGTTCCAAAATCAAAAACATTTGACCCTCGCATTACCAGCCATAGAACCGTGAAAATTAATGATCTTGAAATTTTAAAATCGAAATTAACAAAATTCATGCCAAACAGTGGATTCTTTGGTTTTTATCCAGCTTCAACATCTGATCTTCCTCCTTCAAGTGACAGTGCTTTCACCAGTGCAACTGATACTCAAGATCCATCTTTAGCCGAACCAGTCTCTTTCAATGAGTGCTTCGATATCTCCAAACAATCTTTTAAAGATATGATGGATATTTATTGTCATAACCTATCTTTGTCTGCTGAAGAAATTTCTGACATTGAGAAGGTGACCCGTGGTCAATCCTCTAACAGCAATTGGATAGATTATCGCCTTTATCGACTAACAGCCTCAAACTTCTACACTGCTGCCGTAAACACCGTTGAGCCATCTTCAAAAATAAAATCCATGTTTTACAAGTCTTTCTCAACCTTAGCAACCAGCCATGACAAGAAATTTGAAGGACATGCCATTGAGCTCTACACAATCTACATGAAAGAGCATGGCCTGAATGTCACTGTTTCTGAAACTGGCCTGCAATTATCTTCTTCTTCTCCTTTTCTTGGTGCATCTTTGGATGGCATGGTTTCTTGTAAGAATGAAAGATGGGGTTTGGAAATAAAATGTCCATTCTCCAAGTTCAAAACCTCTCTTCAGGATGCACTTAAAAACAAGAAGTTCTTCTTGGAAAATAATGGTTGCACTATCAAGCTCAAATGCAAACATCAATACTATTATCAAGTTCAAGGCCAAATGTTTTGTGCTGATTTGAAACGTATTGATTTTGTTGTTTGGTTTGGTGGTAGTGAACCATTGTTTGTGGAGTCAATACAATATGATGAAGAATTTGTTTTATCATACATGCTACCAAGGCTTCACTTCTTTTACTGCAGAGCAATTCTTCCTGAATTTTTCACTAAGCGAGTGAAACGTGAATTCAAATTATATTTACATGGAAATTTGACAAACTTTGATAAATCCAAATAATTTTTGTTATTATTAAGATATACACACACAAAATAAATCCTGTTTGTAATAATGTTCAGTATCATTGGCTAAACATAATAATTTCTGAAAGCCTTTTAATAAGTTTTTATAAGTTAAATATGTATTCAAGTAAACATTGTGTATGCTCTAAAGAATTGGTTATGTGTTTAATCTTTACATAATATCATTGTATACTATACATACAGAAAAGATGTAGCATTGTGTATGCTTAAAAGAATTGGTATGTGTTTAATCTATACATAATATCATTGTATACTATACATACAGAATAGATGTAACATTTTGTATGCACTAAAGTATTGGTATGTGTTTAATCTTTACATAATATCATTGTATTCTATACATACAGAATAGATGTAACATTTTGTATGCACTAAAGTATTGGTATGTGTTTAATCTTTACATAATATCATTGTATTCTATACATACAGAATAGATGTAACATTTTGTATGCACTAAAGTATTGGTATGTGTTTAATCTTTACATAATATCATTGTATACTATACATACAGAATAGATGTAACATTTTGTATGCTCTAAAGTATTGGTATGTGTTTAATCTTTACATAATATCATTGTATTCTATACATACAGAATAGATGTAACATTGTGTATGCTTAAAAGAATTAGTATGTGTTTAATCTTTACATAATATCATTGTATACTATACATACAGAATAGATGTAACATTGTGTATGCTTAAAAGAATTGGTATGTATTTAATCTTTACATAATATCATTGTATACTATACATACAGAATAGATGTAACATTTTGTATGCTCTAAAGTATTGGTATGTGTTTAATCTTTACATAATATCATTGTATTCTATACATACAGAATAGATGTAACATTGTGTATGCTTAAAAGAATTGGTATGTATTTAATCTTTACATAATATCATTGTATACTGTACATATAGAGCAGATGTAACATGGCTAAAACAAACATAGATAGATGTAAAGAAAGTTTATAGATATATAAATATATATAGAAGTAATTTATTTATTATCATTAGGTTCAACTAAAATTGGCAAAAAGTTTGTAAGTAAACAACAAACAGTGAAAATCTGATTAGCTGTTGAATGTAATGATAATGGTAGAACACCATCAAGGATGTGGTAATTTTTTACCCTTCCAATGGCACGCTCCACATGAATGCGTACAGAAGCAATGCGAGCAGTTTCTTCTGTCTCATTCGCTGTCAGTTGTGCTCGTGTACCCTTGAAAGGTGGGATGTTTAGAGTCACTCCAGGAGGAAGAATATCTTTGACATCAAAGCCACGGTCAGCCATAAGGTTATCACCATCCTCAAGAAGGGCTAGAACACCTGACTTAAGAGTGATTTCTTTATCAGAGACCTTACCAGACCATAACTTTGAGACAAAGGTAATTAAGCCAGAGGGTGATATGCCAATTAAAACTTTCCATGTATTATGGTGCTTGTATTCGGACCATGTCTGGGACTGTGCTTTCATAGATGATGGAACCTCTGCAAATATTTCTGTGCAATCAATTATTAATCTTGTTGTTGGGAAATCTTTAAATTGAGCAGGCATGGCTTGACGAACAATTTCTTGAGAAGGGGGTTTGAAAAGCAGTGGGAGTTCGTGGTAAAGAAAACAAATCCATGTTGTAAATATTTTTGAAACCTGACTGGAAGAAATTCCAAAACGACCAGCTAAATCATCAATAAACAAACCAACTTTCAGTCTCATTAGAACAAGAATGAATTCTTCCAGATGAGTGAGAGAGCGCTTTGGGCCACGTGAAGACTTGGTGTGATAATCATCAGAGCTTTGTGAAGACTTGTTACCACGCCAATATTGCATTTGCAGGACTTTAGGCTCAAAGTACTCAAATGTTGACATCAGTGTAGGAAAGTTTGGAAAACCAGTGTAAAACTTTGTTGCAGAACTATCAGACTTTAACTTTCAATAGAAAAAAGAGACAGTTTAACTTGAGCAAGCTTCAACTCTAGCTGTTCCACTTGATTTTCTAATTTAATTACTTTGGCAGAGAGCTCTTGACTTTGAGATTGCAGAGTGTCACTTTTGATGAATGAATCCATTATATCATTTTCCATCTTTTCAAAATCAATTGGAAGGTATGTTGGGGAATTTACAAAAGAGAAATCAGTTTGTGTTGATATTGATACAGTTGATGTAGAAAGATCTTCTTCAAACGGAGAGCCAAGTTCAGCATCAATTTCACCACCAAAGCTTGAAAACTGTGAAGATGTATCCTGAGATGAGCTGGGGAATATTTCAAAACGAGCTGATGGAGGTTTTCGTGCTTTGCATTTGCCTCCTGTTGAAGGGACAGTACCAGCCACAAGATTCAAGAAGGGTACAGCACCAGGAACAAGTCGCCAATGGTTCGGGTTTCGCTTTATATCAGCTGACGTAAAATGCTTTTCACACAAAAAGGTCGAGCTGCTGACCTTAAAACCATCCATGCCGTCAATCCTTTTTATCAAAGAGCACCAGCGACGCTTTTCAGGATTTGACTTAGGAAAAGCAAAGAAATGTAGGCCAGTTCGAGATCCATCGGAGTTATAAAAGTAGCTATAGCATCCATAAGCGGCGCATTGACGTCCAAAAGATCGTTTTTTCTTCTTGGATATATCTTGACCTATATCTAATATGTCTTCGCTGCTCATTTTAACAATAAAATTTTAACGTAATTCTATAAAAAAGATAAGCTACGATTGTTAATCCTTGTCGAACCGCATCGTATGAAAGGAGATGAGACGAAACTACATCAGTTGCCTCGATTCCAAGCGTTCGTCTCTCATTCAAATACTGCGTGACGTAATTGTGAAAGGGGTCTTTTGCCAACGCCTGCAAAAAAGCCATGAAGACGTAGGACTATAACTTAATACTTACTATATGCACATAGTTTATGTAAACTCCAAATTTGCAACACATGGTCGACACAACATAAATCACAAATGCTTTGTTCTTATGCAGAGGTATGTTCTCAGGTTCAGATTCATTGTCGCTTTGCCTTTCATTCTCTTCACAAATCAATCCGTTGAACCAAAAGCTCTCCCCAGGCCTCTTAAACACTACCGACATTGCAATAATGAACAAGGCAACGGCGCTGCACAGCCGCATTCCTCCACCGAAGCCATATTGTTTCAAGACGAAACCAACGATAGGCGCCAAAGCTAAGCCACCAACACTGTTCCCAGATATGGCTATACTATGGGCGAGTGGCAATGTCTTCTTGAAGTACAATGGCAAAATTAGCAAAGACCCGTAATAACACAAACTCTGACCAAATGCGAAAACAACTCCAAGCGTCAAGTAGATGATGAGGATATTTGAAGTGAACGATGACACCAGAAGGGCGACGCCTATCAATATGCCTCCAAGTAGCATTGAAAGGCGAAAGCCTATCCGATCCAAAATAACGACTGCGACAGTTGATAACATGAACAGCAAAGATGCCGGTAATGAACTCGCTAGTGCTTGAATAGAGAAGAGGAAGTTGAATATGAGTGGCATAAATTTTTACAGTTTTTCAACATTGTTTACAACATACTAATTAAGAGGTCAATAATAATGTAGGCCAAATTATCATGAGCTTATGCCCTGTAATCTGAGTCCAAATTTCAGCAGGGTAAGCTTAATTTTAATGTTGAAAACTCATTAAGGGGATAAGTAAAGTTTTCAGAAATGTATAATACCAAGATCATACTTAGCCTGAAAACCAGCCCATTACTCTAAAAGAATAAGCTATTTAGAATAATGGGCTGGTTATCAGGCTATATAATACTCCTTATACGGGGGAAAAAGTAACAAGATATGGATTCCTATCGTTTTGATTACTATACTCTGTAAGATTCATGTTTTGCTGCAGGCACCAAGCAAAAGGGGGATGGGGGCTATACCCCACCAATTTTTGCCAAAAATGCAAAAAATTACCAGTGAATTTAGCAGTCAAACCACACTTTATTCGTCTTTAGCCCCCTCCTTCTCCAAGTTTTCTCAACGCTTCGCTAAGCCTGTGCTGACCTTTCATCTTCCAGTCCGTAAACGAAACATACTGTCATTTGTCAGAATAACCCCAAGGCCTAAAATGAACAGTGGCTTTTCATATTATGATCAGGGGCTTCGCGACCGGTAGTATGGGGATGTTACACCCCAATAGTATCTCAATAGGAAATTTCAGCTTAAATACACTCAGTGTCACTACAGTGATTTAGGTATTTCAGAGACCTTCATATCTTTCAATCAATAAAGGATCAAGAAAAGGTAGTTGCTCCTTTGGTTGAATATGATATTCCTTGACATGAATGAAGGTATATAAACTAATGATTTGAAGATTTGAAGATTTCTTGTTGGCATTAATTCCAAAAATCCAGGCCTTCTTTAGGTAAACCTTTGGCTTTTGTCGAGTTGCACCTAAATTCATCACCGCTCGCATTTCAAAGCTTGGTGTTAGACAAAGTCCCACAATTGAGGGCGTTTTTCAACAAGATGAAATTCAGAAAACTAAAACAGTATTCTCTCCAATTAACGGACACTCTAAAAGGCGGAAACCTCTGATAAGCAGACAAATTTTTTTCCCGATCGTTTTCTGGTCAACTCTCATAAAAAACTTTCTTAAAAGCGGACACTTAATTAGCGGACATTGCAATTAGAGGACAATAGTTTTTGCACAAAATAGTCAATTTCGCTCCTTTTCTTTCAAATAAAGGGACATTATAAAAAAGTTAAGAGCCAGCAAACAGAAAACCTAGACGAATGAATATTTCTTCAAATATCTATTTCAAACACTTTGTCTTTTGACAATTTAGTTGGTGTTCTATAGCTTTGAGCTTCTTCACAGCCCAGTTCGCTAACTTTTCTTGTCCACGAAAGTGGTAAATTACTGGAATCTCCAGACCATAGCCACCTCCACGATTCAACATCTTTCCAATAACTTTCTCCTAGATGCTTCCGACAGAGGGGCTGTAGCCCTTCCCTGGTGCCACCACTGATTACACATTTTGAATACAAAACTCGGATCTAAAACCTTTGTATGCACGCCAATGGTCCAAAACGCGTCCGTTTCTCATGCTCTTTGACATTTTTCGACCATGCCGCTACATTTCTGAAATTGACCATCGGACACTAAAACAAACCACTGAAAAGATGATAATAATATGTCATGCTAGATGGAAAATGTTTTGGTGGTTTGATCAGCGTTTCCAAAAAACATATTTCCAATTTTTCGGATTTTTCTCTCTCTGAAAGCGAAAATTTGTCTTGGGTAATGGTCTTCAATTCTGTACCCCACTTCTTACTGAATTCGAAATTTTACACGCTCAACTTTCCAAGCACGATATTTCTGATTGTTTGGAATTTAACAAATTAAAAACTCGACTAAGCGATTTGGCTTATGCTTTTAGTGGCTCTCCCATCGACCCACTCGGATTTTCTTTTGCATAGAAACCATTTTCAAGGTCTAAAATCTCTATGGTCTAACAATGGCATCTTCATTACAAAATCCTATAAAGGGTCAGGGGGGTAATTTTAGACAAAAAGGATAACATCCAAAAAATGGAGAATATTCTCTTCGACAAGCAAAAGTTCGAAAAACTGGGTGATGTCGAAACACACAATAAAACGGCCTGGTTAGGGCTGAAACTTCAAGAACATCTTTTAGAGCTTGTCGACTCAAAAGTGTTGACTAACAAATTTACGATAAGATGAGACCCACAGGTTCACAATGACCACAATTGTCATGGCCTCCCTAAAATACACAAGCCGAATATCCAACTTAGACCCATCTTGTATATGATTGGCTCAGCATAACACGAACTGGCTAAGCGGCTTACTGAAGTTTTGGATCCTGTTCTTCAAAAAAAAATTCAAAACATTGCATCAAAGATTCTTTTACTTTGCCGAGTTCATGCAAAACTTGAACATCAAAACAAAACACCCTTCATGTGTTCTTTCGACATTAGTAGTCTTTTCACTAATGTTCCTTTGAGTGAACAATCAAAATATGTGCCGATGCTTTGTACCGGATCGAGCTTGATTTTGATCGATTTTTAATTGTTTATACAAGGTAATACATTCAATAATGAAAAACTAATAACTGATTCACAATGTGCCCTGTCTAAAAACCTAAGCTAATCAACATACAATAGATAAACAAAAATTAATACATACTCTGGTTAGAAAAGAAAAAATAACAGAAGTTTGATGCTGTACAAGATTTTAGTAGCAATTCGTGCGGCACGGTTTTGCAGCTTTTGCAGCTTATCGAGCAGGGTTTCTCTACAACGACCTTACACTGAGCATCAGTTTCTGAAATGCGGTTCAACTTTACTTGTATACATGTTTTTATAATTTCTAATGGAAGATAATTTTTAGTTTATTTAAGTATGCCCATTGCTCTGAAAATCTTGCCTAAAGCAAAAGTTATATGTTCTCTCAACTTACGTTATAAATGAATCTGAAACCCCAAATACTTATTTGATCCAATCATTTCTAGATTGTCCTCATTTATATGGAGATTGATCACAAGATCTCAATTGTCCATATGATGTTATTCAAGTTACTCGAACATATTACCTTCCAACCAAATCTGAAGCTTTAAGATATGAATTAACTGCTTCATTTACCTCGGCTATAGATTTTGATTAGAAGAAAATGCTTGTTTCTTCAGCATACATGGTCACTTTTGTGCTTTGCAACGCACAGAACAAATCACTCATCTATACATAAAAATATTGGTGGACCGAGGCACGATCCTTGCGGTACACCGCAGTTCACGTTTGCTATTTTTGATGTATGTCCATTTACTTTATAGCATTGCTTACGATCCTGTAAGTACGATTTAAACCAATCCAGCTCCTTTTCCTATACTTCATAATTAAAAAGCTTTTGGACGAGAATTGCATGATCTACAGTATAAAAAGCTTTATTTCAAGTTGCTTCAACCTCTTGGACAATCCTGTTTAAAGTTTCATTTTCTTTATGGGCTGAATAGAATCCACGGTTTCTTTTACTAAGCGATCTTCCACGAACTGAACATACTTTTCGTTACCAGGCACCGGAGCGTCCAGAAGGTCTTTGACAACTCAATGGTCTAATTCTTTACCGGTTGTAAGATGTCGAGCTGGTCCTTTACCAAATGGATCTATGTTATAATCTCGCAGCTTTTGTTTAAGTTTTTCTATGTGCTTAACATAAAGCAGCTTTCCTGCTAATGTAGACTCTTTGTGAACTGCAGATGTTTGAAGGTTCATTCTTTCTCGCAATTCCGTTTGAAGCCGTGCATTGATATGTGAGGTTTTAACCCAAGTATTCACTGTATTTATATCAGTACTATACCCTGATCGAAATTGACCCGCAGTTCCTTTTGTCTCGCCATTATAGATTTCAGTTATCAAATCACCATGGATCATGGAGAAATTTCCACAAGATAAACTTCCCCCATAATGTGATCAAAAAAGTAACTTCCGGTAAAATTTTTTGTCACATCTTGGATTTCAAATCTCCATAGTTGATTTAGTTGGATTGTGTAATAAAATTTGAGGTTAGGCAGTTTGCTAGTTTTTTCTACAAAATTCCCTATCTGAAAGGATTGCGTTCCTACCACCCAAAAAAGTTCCGTTATCTATGAATTTACGTGCCAGTGTGATTATTTGCAAAGCCCGATAATCGTTCCATCTAGAAGTTTTTGGAATCTATCCACATAAGCATGAAAAACCGCTATTGTGTAGACAGAAGGAGTTCGCTTTCATCTTATGATTAAGACTCTATTGAAAAAATTTTCAATGTGCTTTCATCTGTGTAGTGGTATCATCTTGTGTCGGAGCGTCTTAATTAATCTTCACGTTAATGCGGTTTGAATAAAATGTTTTTCATCAGTTTCATCAAATTCATGAGTTTCAACCGTAATGAGAAATTGAGTTGAGTGTGTCAGAAGCAATTAGAGTCCTGTCGTTAAAAGCATAAGCTATCAACGTAAAACAATAAGCAATAAGTATACATTTGGGTTACTATAAATTAGGGTTAACAGTGAGAAATTTCACTAAGATCAGGCCAACACATTAAACCTTGCATACGAAGTCTCTTGAAACTTGTGTGGCTATTTCTATGCAAAGAAAACTCCCGAGGTCTACCCTTTGTTCAGCAGCAGCTATTCGGGGGATAGAGGTTGGTAAAAGACCCCCTAAGTGTTGGCAATCAGTGGGTTTCAGACAAGACTATAACTGTGAAAAGACGGTCGTTTTTACAGCTCTTGGACCAGATGTAGGTAGAAGAGAATGTTGTTCTATCGAACAGCGTGAAAAATTTGCCAAAGAGTTAAGACAGATAATTGAAAGAGCTAGTCCTAACCAATATGTGTAGCTCTCTTTTGGTCGTCCTGCAACTCTGCGAAAAACATAGAGAAAAACAAAGAACGACTCTCAGAAAAGCTCCTGTAAAATTCCGAATACTTTCCCCCCGACAAGAAGCCCGATACTTTTAGTTAGAATCTATCATAAAGCCACAATTTTATCCTTTTAACACGAATACACGTCAACGTCATTACCGAAACAGAATACAAGGACAACGAATTCTATTCTTTAAATTCTTAAGTGTATTTCTTAGATTTAGTTTGTAATGCTTTCAACTAGATCATATATACAGGGTTACCTTGGTTCCTTCTTATTGAGTCTCCTGGGGCTATTCTAGCGTCACCAGATTGCAAGTTTTGAGGCTTCAAAAACTTTAGCTCTCTGTTAAAAGGGGGCTGGTTCAGGCATGTCAGGATACAAAAGGGAGCGTCCTAACTACTTGGAAAATGAAGAAAGTAAGGTTATTTCATAAAACGAAGGAAACAGGTAGAAAATCGGTCCCATGTCACTCCATCTAATTAAAAATTTCGTTTCCTCTATATAGTTTTGAAATTGCTATGAAAACCCTAGATTTCTGGGACTTTTCTCAGTCTCTTTCGAAAGGATCAAGTCTTTGTAGTAAGATTTATCGAAGAAAGCCCCACCTTCCTATGCGCGATTCAAGTCAGTTGAAAGAAAGATGTTGCTCACCTATCGAAGCATTGCTCGCGTCAAATTCTTTCTGCATTGATACATAAATGGACCCAAATGTACGGTTGAAGCCATATCCTGTGAATTGAATCAAAAATGCAAATCCACAAACAAGATAACGGAATTTACTACTTTCAACTTCTTCTTCTTCAACTCTGTCCATCTTTTTGTGAAAATGATTCTAGTAAGACTTGATCAATACAAAATTCTCCAGGCACCCGATTCAGATAGCACGAAAAAAAATTACCATCCAATGAAAGACAGATCAGTCACGCAACTGTTACTACTGTCTTTGCTCTTATTGGATATAACGCACCACTACGCTTATTCTGAATCGAAAGCCTCGCGCTCCGTGAGCATCTGGTAACGATTCTCAGTCACTATTGAACAAAGGGCATCTTTGGGAGAAACCTGGACCCATTTGATACGAGGCATTTTGACCATGGTGATTGCGAATCTGGTTGATTCTAAGCGAATTGTCCAATTTCAGGTGCGTATTTAGAATTGCGCTATCTAAAGTCTACAAAATTCTTCAAAGAACGCCCCTGGAACAGCATTTGACTATTCTCTTTTGACAATATGACGTCATTTTGGTTTCATAGTTGAGAAAATTCACATTATATGTTTAGAATTGACAATATCTAAGTTTTCCTTTGATCTTAAACTTGGATGTCTCTAAAATTCGCCAAAAAGCATCCAAAAGATAGAGTAACAAAATAGTTTCAATCCATACTCATTATTGAAATGGCTGATTAATGACCTTTTTAGATATTGTTTTATTGCTTTACTTTAACTTCAATTAATTAATGCAAACACTTTAAAATGACTTCCATCAATAGCTATCAAGTGAACCAAGTGATCATGAATGGTTTGATTGGAGATTTGTTGTTTTACATATGAGGTCATAATTTTTTATTACGTCATTTGCTACATATTTGCATAGTCATCAGAAGAAGTAAATTCGACGTCATCTTATACCTTTATTGTAGTGTTAAACAGGACCCTACATTTAGGTTTGAAAGAAAGCCTGAGCTAGCCCTTAATATAAATCAACTTTTGTGAGCATTGATTGATACTACATAAGGAAGATAAGGTGACTGGAATGACCTTTCCTTACGAGGAAATCATTCGTAGGGACCCACACAGTCAACATTCTATTTATTTAGCTCAATACACAACGATATGTTGCCCTATAGTAAGAAATTTGTTCAAAACAAGCCGCTGTAATTCCTTAGGATATCACTATTGCAAGAGATAGGAAAGATCAAGGCAGCCAGCAAGGTTGGCGGTAAGAAACATTATGCTAAAATGGAACTCTTTGGATAGCCTGAAAACAATCTAGAATAATCACGGCATCGATTAAGAACCAAGGATTTTAACATGGCGATTTGAAAGTTGTTGCAAATTCTCTAAATACGTTTTTAAAGAAGACAAAACTTAACACGGTTTAACCCTAAAACCTAACCATAAGTAATATTAAAGGGCCACCCCAGCCAAAAACGTTCTCTGAGATTTTTGCATAAATTGGTAGTTATTGGAGAGTTAGAAGGTATCGTGAATTTTTTTTTTTGAAAAGCAGAACTCGGAAGCAGAAAAGCTTTCCAGACAAAGACGCTCAAAGTTGAGAATCACCGTAAAAATACGACAAAATTTTTTTCGGAAAAAATATTTTGTGACGTGTGAAAGGGCAATTGTTTCAACATTCGGCGCTACTGTTATACGTTCGCACTGAAATTTGCACGAAATTTGGCTTGGAAGAGGCGATTCATGTCGAAATTTCTGTTGTTGTTTTATTAATTTTCCTTCAGATTGCGATTGATGTTCAGCGGAGTCTTCCAGGCAACATGAACTAGTAATTCCACAAATCAGAGATGGAAACTTCAACCTGAACGCAAATCCCCATTTTGGCAACGCAGCAAGCTTTTCAAAATGGAATGCTTCACTAGATTTCAGATTTGAATGGAATGCTGTCCGAAGGCATTTCTTATCGTCGTCTCATCTCAGGGATTTCCAGGAAGCTGAATAATAATTGATGTCTTACCGCATTAGAAAAAGAACCCCATTCACAAGATGGAAACTTTCCCGTAGGTCACAATTTATCCTTATCCAGGCACCGCGGAGCGGGGGACGGCTGCAGGGGCTTTAGCTACAAATGCTAAAATTAATTAACAAACTACCAGTAAAGCCTCTTTTTATATGGTTTTAGCCCCCCCCCCCACATTTTTAGACCCCCACTTTTCTCAATGCTCTACGGTGCCTGTTATCATTTTAATATGTTGAATGTTTGGGGAAACTGCAGTGTGTAGAGGTTTGGAGGGGTTTTGGGGAAGGTGTGACACGCACCACTTAAGCAAAGCAATTTGCCAGGCTTTGAGAAAAATAAAGTCCTCTAAATGTAAGATTTCTAACAGCCCGTCTCGTGAACTGTCCCCTAAATGGTCACAGCTGTGGTACTAAGAAAAGTACAACAGGGGCTATCAAGCAAAATGTCACATAAAATAGAACTAAAAGTAGAAGTTTGCTACATTTTGTACCAACAAGGGGGCCTGAGCCTCCTAGCACTAAACCACTGCCAGTGATCTGTGCACTACACCCTTGCCCGGGGTGCAGATGTGTTAAACTTTCCAGTGTTTTTCTCCTGAACCTGTAGTCATAACATCTAAGCTTTTGTCTTTTTTGTTTTGTTCCCGCTGTGTTTTTCATGCTATGTTTAGCTGCTTGTACATACCGCTGTGTTTATCTAGAAATAGTTAGTTGGTTTGAAAGAAGATAATAACACACGCTTCTTGGTAGATACAGGTGCTGATGCAAGCGTTTTACCTCCTTCTTCTGCTGAGAAACAAACTTCTCAAAACATTTCTTTACAGGCTGTAAATAAGTCGCCAATTCCTACTTTAGGAGAAAAGTCTTTATCGATAGACCTCGGACTTTGCCGCACGAACATGTGAATTTTTATTATTGCTGAAATACCGTTCCCTATTCTTGGCTCTGATTTCCTTGCTCATTTTGGCCTTAAAGTTGATGTTTAAAATCGGAAACTCATTGACACTACAACAAATTTGACCATTCAAGGTAATTTGTTCGCCGACAGCTCACCTCATCCTATGCTGGCAACCCCTGATACTACTTCGCCATACCAAGCCTTACTTCAAAAGTATCCTGACATTGCCCGTCTTTCATGCAACGAATCAAAACTAAAGCATACCGTCACCCATCACATCACAACTTCAGGCCCTCCTGTATTTGCTCGTCCCCGTCGTCTTGCTTCTGAACGTTTGACCATTCCAAAGCTGAATTCGTTCATAGGTTACAACTGGGCATCATTCGGCCGTCAAAAAGCAGTTGGTCTTCTCCGTTGCACATGGTTCCTAAGGCTACTCAAGGTGACTGGCGACCTTGCGGTGATTATCGTGGCTTGAACAATGCTACAGTTCCTGATCGCTACCCCTTCCCACACATTCAAGATTTCTCTTCATCTCTGCATGGAAAAACCGTTTTCTCAAAAATTGATCTCGTGCATGCCTATCATCAGATTCCAGTCGAGCCTAGTGACATTCCTAAGACTGCTATAACAACTCCCTTTGGTTATTTGAGTTCCTTAAGACTGCTATAACAACTCCCTTTGGGCTGCTATAAGAACTCCCTCGCTGATTTACTTGGAATCAAACGTATTCATGCTACTTATTACCACCCTTGCGCCAATGTCATGGCTCCACTCATTCTCCTCGGACTTCAGACAATGATTAAAACTGACCTCGGTTGTCCACCTGCCCAACTTGTTTATGGTTCCACACTTCGTCTTCCAGGTCAATTCATATCTCTGACATTTGATGTCACAGCCCTTGATCGCTCTGTTTTTGTTGGTCGTCTACAAAGTTTTATGCAACAACTAAAACTAACTCCTACCCGTTCTCAAGAAGTTTACACATACATCCCAGCTAATCTTCCATCTTGTACGCACGTCTTAGTTCACAATTATGCTGTTCGAAAGCCGTTTCAACCTCCATATGACGTTCCTTTCAAGGTCCTCAAGCGCTCTGACAAACATTTCCTCGTAGATGTTAATAAACCGATTGTTCCGAAATATTGTATAGAAAGATAACTTGAAACACGCGGGCGACTTGCTCACGTGACTTAAGTAGATGCTACCCTGGGTACCAGACTCACTATGTATAAAATAAAATAGAGAGTCTGGTCTAGTGCGCCCCATTCTCGTTCTGGTGTGCTGATATTAACCAATCAGGAGCGAGTGTACAGATTTCTGTACGTTCAAAGGTCACAGCGAAACAATAAACTTAGCTCTGGTGTAAAACATTGAACAGAACACAACATAAATAAATGCTAGCGACTGTAACGATTTAGTTTTAAGATGCTGTTAAAACTGTACTCAAAGAATATTTTCCGCATGTTGTGGAACTTAACACAGAACAACATTGAAAGCCTTGTTTGTAGAGTGAAGAGACACCTTCGCCATATTGCCAACTGGCTTTGGAAAGTCTCTGATATTTCAGGCAGTGCCTCTCATTGCAAAGAAATTAGGCCTTGTAGTGAAATGCAGTAAATAAGAAACACCGCAAGGCGCCGAGAACAAACAACAACAAACACAAGTAAATCAGTTATGGCTAATATTTCGCCCGGTATACGGGGCTTCGCTTGTCATATTGCCCATATTTGCTGTGGTGACCTTCCAACGTGATGATTCTAACCGCCGCGGTGTCTAAGCGCGCTGCCTTCACAGTGAGGAAGTAGACTTTGAAAGTACACACAATTTATGTGGAAAATTACAAAAGACTTATTTTAAGTTGTATACGAAATTTAATAATGATTAACATTTAATAACTGCATTGTGCTAACTTTAATTTCATGCTTCGCACATGTTTTTTGCTGCCAAATGGCGTTTTAAACCTGATTTGATTGGAATCTTGAGGCAGAAGTGTCTATTACCACTGTATTAATAATGCCAACTTTACAGAAGTATTTTAAATACATGTGCTTTAAGATTTTCCAAAACTCCTCTGACTACTGAGTATCTTTGTTATTTATCCGACAATCTTGTTTCACAGGCTTAGTCTGTTAAATAGACTTCAGTTCTTTCAAGTAAGTTCACCAGAACGAGAATGGGGCGCACTAGACCAGACTCTCTATTTTTTTATATAGTGAGTCTGGTACCCAGGGTAAGTAGATGCACGCTAGACGATGATGGCGGACAACAACAGTGGTTTATATGATTAATTCCTTGATTTTCTGGGTAACGACTATTTACCCATAGAAGACGATGAAAGCATTTTCATCGATGATGTAAAAATGTCATCTTTTTATTTATTACGAGTTTTATTACGGAATTAAAGCATGATGTGATTGTGGGCGAACAAAGCATTCCAGACCAAGGGAATAATCAAGAGCAGCCAGAGAGTCAGCTCCAAGAGATACATTGATAAGACTGGTTAATGAATCTAAAGCAAACGCTTCAAAAGATGAGTGCTATCCAGATTTTATATGTAAAGCTGCAGGGGACTTTTGCTTTGTTGACGAATCCCAGCTTCTTGAAAAAGTAATACAGAAAATCTGGAGTTCATTTTCTAAAAATTATAATGCTGAAAAGTTTTATTCTTCATTTTACCACTCTGTTGTTCTTAATACAACAAAATATTTTATTTCCCTGGAGAACCCTGTATGCACATTGATTGCAATGCGACTTGCAGACAAGTTGAGTGCTTATTTTAATAAATCTAAGAAATCACCGATGACATCCAGTAAACCTATCACAGAGCGAGAAATGGATGCTTTACAGTACCTATCTGGCTATGTCATGCATGTATTGGTTAGAAAAGTTTATAAATTTTCAGAAAAGAAGTGCAAACAATCTCAAGTAATATTATCATTGCTCTATGCTGCCAAAAGTGATAATGTATCAGCACAAAGGCTAGTTGCATCACAGACAAGAGGTGGCTTGTTGTCAGTAACACCAGAATGCGTTCAGGTTTTTAGGCTTGTTGAAGAAGAATTTCGAAAGATCACCTCTGCAGCCCATATTCCAAAGATTGATGTCAAAGAAATATCAGAGACTCTAACACATAATGTTGATATAGTCAGTGCCTTTGATACAATGGTACATGTGTACACAGACAATGTTACAAAAGAAACCAGAGTGGTCTTGCTTCAAAAAATGATTAAAAAAACACACCATACAAAGGATACGTTAGGCAAATTACAACTAAACAAGTTGATGAGAAACAAACAAACTCTGAGTCAGATTTCGATTACTTATATACAGTGAAACAGATAATAAATCCACTGTTACTGCCAAAGTCAGCGATTACAAATGTAATTTGCTTGTGGACACTGAAGCATCAGTAAATATTCTTGATGAAGAAACCTTTCGTCAGATACCTTCAGATCTTCAACTGTAGAAGACCTCAATTAAAGTATATCCATACAACAGTAACAGCCCAGTGAAAATGCTTCCATCGCTAGGCGTACCTAAGATTAAATAATCCTTGTTCAAAAGAAACATCTTTGAAATTAAATAACCAAGAAATGGCTTGGCATAGATAAATGGAAATTGAACGAGCAATGGAATGGCACATATAATAACACGAGATTGTAAAGAAATTGAGAAATACACAAGAAATCGCATCACTTTATCTATTTCAATTCTGTAAAACTTCTCATTGCGCGTGACGAAGCAGCAGATAAATACTCTTTGCTACAACAAATTTATAGTTAGCCTCTCGTTCATGCACCACGGCACCTATTGTGCCACAACGGTTAAATCGCGTCATATCATAACACACACAGCTATTGCTGCGTGTTAGTGCGCCATTGTTAACTGTTAAGGCCGATTTCCATTTGACATTTTTTCTGCGCACGGGCGTAGCGACCAAATCTGAGCATGCGTAGCTAAGTGCTGCTGTCAAGTGGCCGACCGCATAAAAAAGTTGAGACCCTATCAACTTTCCGGCGCTCACAGCGGACACAAAATCGAGACCACTTGATTTTAATTACGCATGCCCATATTACGCAAGCAGAAAGTTCAATTTTTTTCATGCGAAGTTCTGACAAAACTGGAAGTGTCGAGCAGCGTTGGAAGTTGCTTATGTCAGTTTAGTTCTGTAAAGACAGTAAAGGCTCGATAACTCGAACCCTCCAATAGTTCGAACATTGCCTAACTTGAACTGATATTTCTCCCCTAGAACCTAGCGTAATACTTTCATAAACAAATGCCATCGATAACCCGAACCCTCCAATAGTTCGAGCACTGCCTAACTTAAACTGATATTTCTCCCCTTGAACACAGCGTAATACTTTCATAAACAAATGCCATCGATAATTCGAACCATCCGATAGCTCGAACATCCCCTAACTCGAACTGATATTGCGTCCCCTTGAACATAGCGTAATACTTTCATATACAAATACCATCGATAACTCGAACACCCGATAGCTCGACCTTTTCCTAACTCGAACTGATTTTGCTCCCTTTAATAATGTATGAATCGTAACAGATTTTTTCGTTCATCGAACCAAAATGCTGTTTTAGTTTGAAACATAAACAAATTCATTCAGTCTCGTAATTTGCGTATTGCAAGAAACAATCAATCCTTCTCCATCACCAAGATCGAGTTTACACTAAGATCGAAAGTTAGTTGAAGGTAAAATGTATATGCTTGTAAAATCATGTTTTAAAAGAATAAATTTCTTGAAAGTATTATCAACCAATTTATCACAGTATCTTTGTTGGTACAGAACTTCGAATCACAGGCTACCGATACAGATTGTGTCATGGAAAAACATTGACTATGGTCAACGAAATGTGATATGCGTTCCTCCAACTAAACTTGTATTGAGTATCATGCAATGCTTAAATGCCCTGTTTTGAATAATTGAAGATACAGTATATACATGGCTATTTTACACGATATCCATCAGATCATTAATTTGATTATTTGATAAGCATAAGTAAAGATAATTAGGTAACAATAGTTGTTACAAAGTTTGCAAGAGAAAACTCAGAGAGTGCAGAAAAATTTGAATTTTTCATGTACACTGAACCAAAACTCTGTTGCTAGCAATAAAATTTTCACTTATTGCTTTTGATTGTAGACTTTTGACTTTTGCATTTTTTTGTATCTATCGATGCTGCAATTAATTAATATGCTGCAAATCGTAATCATGTTAAATAGTGTTTGACAAAAGATAGAGAGACGCATTCACTCATGGCGAAACATTTTTCAACCCTCAGATGTCTCACAATAATAATGTATGATAGTATAATAATGACATAATATAGTAAAAATAAATAAATCATAAATAATTTGTTTAAAGTTGGCAATAAGTTCTTTCATCTATCTCATCTATCTGGCATTAAGTTAACTCAAGCTAACTATTTTCAATAAAAGTGATAATTTATAAAAAGTAATTATATATAAAATGCTTAAATGTACAGTATTTGCTTTGCACAATCCACAACTACACTCGAAGTCTTTTAAAAATTATATGTTTGGTTGAATGATCTGCAGTGATTGGGACTCTTTGATTTCAGTAGATATTATTGCCATATTTTTTAGCCAATTAATATAATGGTCTCCGTGCCATATGTTGTTGTTCTTGCACATGGCAAAATAATGTTGCTGTTTGCCCGAAATCCATATTTCAGGTTTCTAGTAACAATTTGCAAGTAACACAATTTGCTACATCAAGCTTAATCATTGTTCATAACCCGCAAAATACATTTCCAATCACTAGGTTTATAAATCTCTCACTAACTTCACAAAGAAATGCCAATTCTGATCGGATCTCGCCTTTGTAATTTTGAAAAACCATTTTGTGTGATATTCTAATATTTTAATATTCTAATAGCAACAGCATTTCTTTGTAAATAAAACAGTGTACTCAAGCCATCTGTGGCTTTAAGCTTCTTTATTATTGGCATAATTCTAGATACCAAGCTATTTTTGAAACTAAATTGGCGGGTCTTTCATTACTTGTCTCCTACAATGTTCGGTTGAGTATGAGAGTGTTGAAAGTCAAATGGAGATATCCCTGTTACAATTTTGACATTATTTTGTAAGTTTGGCATGAGTAGTTCGGTAGTCCTAATGTTGATAACTGTACGACCATTGATTATCTCAGAAATAAAATACCTTGAAGCACAATATCTGACTAATAAATAATAAATGATAGTTTGCTTTAATTTGAAAACATAATGATCTCAGCGATGAAATAGTAAAGACACAGGAGTGCAAGGCCAGTAGTTAAAAGGTATTTGGATAGGCTTTTCTTTAAGAAACTTTCCTTGATATCTCAAAGCTTTCTTCATTTAATCATTTAACAAATTAGGAAACATTTGTACTTAGGTAGGTTAGGTTAAGTTAGCTAACATGCAGACTATTGTGATACGTGCAGTAAACAAGCACTGGAAAGTGACTACCTGAGGCGAGGAATGGTTGCCGCAGAAGGTGAGAAAATTTTCAAAAATTTGATGCTACTCAAAAATGCACTCATTGAAGCAATTTTAACGAAGTTAATACAACTATACTTTTATATCAGCAGGAGGAACGCTTTTTGATGGTTTTATTCGATTTTGTTGCTGGCATTCTCGCAATTTGCGCCACTAGCCTTGAAAACTTGCAATGTAGAGTTTGGTTCTCGTTGCTGACAGCTTGCCAATCAACATTTGAAATATCAAGATGCCGTGTTTGCATGAAAAAATCGAAATGAAGATGAAAACAATCAAATATACCATCAACTAACATTAATGTTTTAATTTATGCCACCAGCAAGTTTGCCGAATAAGTACCAAAATGGCGAATCCGCCGATTAAACAACTCTTGAGGCTTGCCACACTTCCTCACATACAATCCCCCTGTTTATTGGGGAGACAAGTAGAAGAAAACATTTTGATGAGTGAGGCAACCCTCTGTCCTGGAACCAACGAGCATGCGCATGGAAAGAGATTTTGTTACGTTTTGACGCCTGGGCAGAAGGTAGCCCCACACTAACTTTAAAAGATCGTCTCCCCGACAATCCTGCTATGTCTTTTTCTGGAAAGGGAATTATGCCTGTCTTCCAGACCATGCACCGTACCGGGCCCTTGCTTGCTTGTCCTTGATCTTAATCTACAGGCTGTTTTTTGCATGAAAAGGTTTGGCCAGGTCCTAGTTTGAAAAAAAACACATATGACCGGAGTAATATTGCACTGGTGTATTTATTAATTTTGACTTATTCACAAAAAAACTATAAATAACAAACTATACCCGTTTGAAAGATAACAAACATTTGTTTTATGTTTGAGAACGCAGTGACGCATTTACCCATGGGCCCACTGACCTCTGGCCCGGATTCTTTGATTTAGGGGGCCCTGTGCAAAATTTTAAAAACCTTTAATGTGCTCTTGATTTCAATCTTGTGTTTGAATGGGGCTAGAAGGCCTTGTAAAGTAATGAATTCCGTTTAAAGAATGGAATAAAGGGCGTGGTCACAAGAATTTTTAGCTCGCTCCGCTCGCAAGGGGCCTCATTTTTGTTTTTACCACAAGGCTTTTGAAAGTTTCGCTTGTCCTCATAGGAGCTTTCCCCAATGCAATGACAGCATTTAGTTTGTTGCTCAATTTGCCATACGGTGGTTTCTCCGGTGAAAAATGTTTCACTATGCTGAAAAGGGTAATTAAAAAGAGTGTGAACTAGGGTCAACAATGTCACAGTAGCGCGCTGTTTCCTTATGTTTAATCATTAAACAATCTTTAAATGACAGCAGATGTTGATGTTCTGGGAGTTTTAAACGCCAATAAAATCATCGGAAAGTTTCCAGCAGTTGGGTAGTTTTTTATGGGAATGTCCTGAAATGCGCAATGGATACAAGTCTATTGGTGTCATAAATTTGGCTGATTATGTTTGATTATGTTTAGCCAAGTACTGTGCACGTGACACGAATTATTTGGTATATTTTAAGGGACCCCAATCATTTTTGAGCCCAGGGCTCCAACAGACGTAAATGCGGTCCTGTGAGAACGTGGGTTCAATTCAAATTCTTTATGATGGTAAGATTTTTGGGAGTGTTTTCATTTTCTATTAAGTTCTCAAAGCGGCAACGAATATTGCTACCACAAAATCTACAAGCATATTGATTGTTAATTGAATTCAATTTGAAAATTGCAATCAGAGCTTGGTTGAATTCTCGCTATTTTTTAAAAAGAGGAAATGTAAAACTATTTCTAATTAAGATCAAGACAACCAACTCTCTTCTTCATTACGTTGAAGCTTGTTTGCATATAATAGGGTTTAAAGCAGCACCTTTCATACCAAGTAACTTACGTTTTATTGAAAGATTCTTATCAATTACGTTGACTTTAAACTTCTACTGTTTGAGGAGAAGCTCATTTTCCTCTTTGTTTAGAGCATGAAAATATCGCACAAAGAACATCAGAAGCATTCCCATAACAGCACATCCTCCAGCAATGAGAAAAGCAAGTATATAGTTGCCAGTGAGTGTATACAAATAACCTACAAGAGAAATAAGAAAAGATAATAACAGGAAGGAAACGATAAGAGAAATATAAAAGGTACAAGAGACTGAAGTAAGGCTTCACGTGAAACAGTCTTGCTACGATAATGGCCATATTCCCTTTGATATCTAAAATGCAACTTCACCACCCAGAACAAAATATGAACTTTCCTGAAAATGTGAATATATTTTTCACAGCAATTTTCACGACTTTCAGAAACACTAGCAATTTCTTTAAAAAATTATATTTTGCTTATTATATTTCACTATTTTATTAGTGTGAAAATTAAAGAGTCTTTAAAAAATGCAAACATATTGAGACATACTTCATCTTTTATTCTAGCATTCATATGAATTTATAAGCCTTCAGAAGCCCGATCGTCCTAACATCCAGCATTTTGTACAATCTATCTGCATAAAAGATGAAATAGCCTCTGTTGTGTAAACGAAAGAATTTGTTTTCACCCTAGAAAAAGATTGGTTAAAATATTTTGAATAATTAAACCGCACTAAATGGGCAAGCTCGATAGTCATGTGCTTGCCATTCTCATTAGCACGTTTCGAACCACAGCTTCATTTACGTATTCTAGCTGGAAGTTTTCAATCCTTGCTCACAGGTTTTATACTCTGAAAAGTGTTGGACGGAAAGCTTTAGTTTGTTCAAAGTTGTTACTTTCTTTAAGGGCATTTCAATAGTTAAATCATTAAACACTGGATTGGTGAAATGTTTTTCCGTACGAAGAAATATTGATAAAACTTTTGTACGCATTGCAGGCATTTTTGCTTGCATAAATCCTGATAAATTTCAAATTGCAAATGAAATTTGTTACCAAATTATCATGCTCATTATCCTACCGTAACAAGCCTTTGATATGATCAAACGTTAAGTCTGATATTACAACGTATCACAAGTTGATACATCAAATTTAAAATATTTATTTAAACCACATCGTATAACATCATTTATCATATGATATGATATAATTGTTTTATAAATTCTAAATATTATAGTGTTTTGATGATTCCAACATCATTCTTTAATCCCAGCCAAGACCCCCAGAAATTTTTTCTTACCTGCAACTGGGGGGCCACAAAAGGTAGCGATCCCTATAAAGAATTGACTGATATTGTATCCTCTTTTAAATTGCTGTGTTTCTACAATTTCTTTGACAATAATAAGGTTTGATGCATTATGCAATCCTTGAGATAATCCAAAAGCAAAAGAGATTATGGCTAGGCCAGTAAACCCTTTTAGAAATGGGAAAAACATTAATACTCCCATAAAAGCGGTCGAAATCTGACACAAAGCCAAATTGCTTGCCACTTTCATGGCTGACAGCTTGCCAAAAGCTATTTTGCCAAGGAACTGTGCGATTGAAGTTAGGCCTGGTAAGAATGTAGCTTCAGTGTAAGGCACTGCCCGGTCAAGAGCCAAACGTACCTGAAAAAGTAGTAGTTTCAAAAAGACACATGTAGGTACATACAATTATATTAGGCATATAGAAGTAAACAGTCTATGATTCAAGATCATTAGTAGAATATTTATTCATACCAATTCAAATCAATACTTTGATAGATCATTTAACTTTTTTTGCTTTTCCTCTCTCTTCACGATTTAGAATGTTTCCTCAGATTAACACATATGCTAAAAAATAATTCTTAAAAATCTTCTAAGGTCTAGAAATTACGAAAAAAGAAATTTAGAGAAGATTTAGCAAAGAGATTCTATATTAAAATCATTATACAAAAAGAAGGTGATGGACAGCAGCGCTAAGCTGCAAAATCGACAACTTCCACATTGCGTCAAAAGACAAAGCTCAATTGCATTCAATTATGCCAACGCCTGCAAAAAAGCCATGAAGACGTAGGACTATAACATAATACTTACTATATGCACATAGTTTATGTAAACTCCAAATTTGCAATACATGATCGACACAACATAAATCATAAATGCTTTGTTCTTATGCAGAGGTAGGTTCTCAGGTTTAGATTCACTGTCGCTTCGCCTTTCATTCTCTTCACAAATCAATCCGTTGAACCAAAAGCTCTCCCCAGGCCTCTTAAATACCACCGACATTGCAATAATGAACAAGGCAATGGCGCTGCACAGCCGCATTCCTCCACTGAAGCCATACTGTTTCAAGACGAAACCAACGACAGGCGCCAAAGCTAAGCCACCAACACTGTTCCCAGATATGGCTATACTATGGGCGAGTGGCAGTGTCTTCTTGAAGTACAATGGCAAAATTAGCAAAGACCCGTAATAACACAAACTCTGACCAAATGCGTAAACAACTCCAAGCGTCAAGTAGATGATGAGGATGTTTGAAGTGAGTGATGACACCAGTAGGGCGACGCCTATCAATATGCCTCCAAGTAGCATTGAAAGGCGAAAGCCTATCCGATCCAAAATAACGACTGCGACAGTTGATAACATGAACAGCAAAGATGCCGGTAATGAACCCGCTAGTGCTTGAATAGAGAAGAGGAAGTTGAATATGAGTGGCATAAAGTTTTACAGCTTCTTCAACATTGTTTACAACATACTAATTAAGAGGTCAATAATAATGTAGGCCAAATTATCATGAGCTTTGGCCCTGTAATCTGAGTCCAAAATTCAGCAGGTTAAGCTTAATTTTAATGTTGAAAACTCATTAAGGGGCTAAGCAAAGTTTTCAGAAATGTTAAATCCCAAAGTCATACTTATCCTGAAAACCAGCCCATTATTCTAGAGGAATAAGCTTTTCAGAATAATGGGCTGGTTATCAGGCTATATAATACTTCTTATACGCGGGAAAAAGTAGCAAGATCTGGTTCCCTATCGTTTTGTTCGTTAAACTCTGTAAGATAGATTTTTTTACTGCAGGCACCACGGAAAAGGGGCTGGGGTGCTATTGCCCAACAATTTTTGACAAAAATGCAAAAAATTACCAGTGAATCACCAGTCAAACCACTTTTTCTTCGACTTGACCCCCCCCTCCCCCAACATTTCTCAACGCTCCCCAGTGCCTGTCCTGACCTTTCATCTTCACGCTTCCAGATCAAACATAACATTTGGTCATTTATGAGAATAATCCTAATGCTTAAAATGATTGATAAGTGGCTTTTATATTATTATCAGGGGATTGGTGACCGGGAGTGTGGGGAGTGTTACCTCCCAATAGTATCTCAATAGAAAATTTCAGCCTAAATCCACTCAGTGTGACTACAGTGATTTAGGTCTTTCAGAGACCTTCATATCTTTAAATCAATAATCCATAATCCAAAAACCCAGGCCCTCTTTAGGTAAATTTTTTGTCAAGTTGCACCTAAATTCATTACCCCTCGCATTTCAAAGTATGGTGTTAGACAAAATCCCACAATTGAGCACGCTTTTCTACAAGGTGAAATTCAGAAAACAAAAACAGTATTCTCTCCAATAAACGACCATTCTAAAAAGCGGACACCTCTGACTAGAGGACCAATTTTTTTCCCCGATCTTTTCTGGCCAAAGTCTCATAAAAGACTGTCTAAAAAGCGGACACTCTAATTAACGGACAATCTTTTTTGTACAAAATAGTCAATTTGGCTTTTTTTCTTTCCAGTCGGGTTTCTTTGTGTAATTCCGCTCGATTTTGGTGCCAAAATTGATTTTTTTGGATGAATGCCTTCAAATATCTATCAATAATATAAAAATCATAGGTGCCATTTTTTTGGCTCAACAGAAGTGGGTTTTATTGGGGTGCAAATCATGCCCGGTCAAAGCATGTGTTTCTGCGGAGGAGAAAAATGTCCCAATCACAATAGATGATATAAGTTTAAATTCACCATATTGTTTTCAAATATTAACTGGGGAAATCTATAAATTCTTAGTCCTGGTTTCAGGAATTAATATGGTTAATCATGTGACTTTCTGCCTCTATTTCCATACATGGAAATGAATATTTTTATTGGTTTCTACAATGAGATATTCTGGAGAAAACAATTTTTAATCACGTCAGAGTCATTTCTGCAAATTTTAAACATCGGAAGACAGGGGCCTCATTTCAAGGGGATGCCGTTAACGACCCGTTAAAGGAGATGTCCCTTAGGTGTATTAAGGAACAACGAACAGTTTAAATACGTTAATGATTTTCGACTTCCTCTCCAGAATCGGCGTATGGCTCTTCATCTGCGGCGTAGTCTTTAATATTTTCGCAATCTACACATTTGCATAGTTCAGTGCATGACTGCCCATTCTTCAAACACGAACAGTTCCCTCGTCCCTTGCATCGACCCTTGGATCCGCATTTGACAAGTTCAAGAACTGATTGCGGGGCTGGCAGCTCAAGGCACTTCATCTGCGACGTAGTCTTCAATATTTTCACAATCTACACATTTGCATGGTTCAGTGCATGACTGCCCATTCTTCAAACACGAACAGTTCCCTCGTCCCTTGCATCGACCCTTGGATCCGCATTTGACAAGTTCAAGAACTGATTGCGGGGCTGGCAGCTCAAGGCACTTCATCTGCGACGTAGTCTTCAATATTTTCACAATCTACACATTTGCATGGTTCAGTGCATGACTGCCCATTCTTCAAACACGAACAGTTCCCTCGTCCCTTGCATCGACCCTTGGATCCGCATTTGACAAGTTCAAGAACTGATTGCGGGGCTGGCAGCTCAAGGCACTTCATCTGCGACGTAGTCTTCAATATTTTTGCAATCTACACATTTGCATGGTTCAGTGCATTACTGCCCATTCTTCAAACACGAACAGTTCCCTCGTCCCTTGCATCGACCCTTGCATCCGCATTTGACAAGTTCAAGAACTGATTGTGGGGCTGGCAGCTCAAGGCACTTCATCTGCGGCGTAGTCTTCAATATTTTCGCAATCTACACATTTGCATGGTTCAGTGCATGACTGCCCATTCTTCAAACACGAACAGTTCCCTCGTCCCTTGCATCGAACCTTGCATCCGCATTTGACAAGTTCAAGAACTGATTGCGGGGCTGGCAGCTCTAGGCACTTCATCTGCGACGTAGTCTTTAATATTTTCGCAATCTACACATTTGCATGGTTCAGTGCATGACTGCCTATTCTTCAAACACGAACAGTTCCCTCGTCCCTTGCATCGACCCTTGGATCCGCATTTGACAAGTTCAAGAACTGATTGCGGGGCTGGCAGCTCAAGGCACTTCACCTGCGACGTAGTCTTCAATATTTTCGCAATCTACACATTTGCATGGTTCAGTCCATGACTGCCCATTCTTCAAACACGAACAGTTCCCTCGTCCCTTGCATCGAACCTTGCATCCGCATTTGACAAGTTCAAGAACTGATTGCGGGGCTGGCAGCTCAAGGCACTTTATCGGTACTTCCAGACCCTCATCCATTTGCTAACCTTTTCCCACAAGAGGTTGAAGTTCACTAATCGCAGTTGTACATCCCTTTGAAATTCCAGCAATAAAATTTGCTCTTTGTATGTGAGGAATCAATGCTGCTAAAGTTGGAGGTAACTTTTCTGGTTCCATGTTTTTAACGAAATAGGAGCTTTGCAAAAACAAACTTTCGCGTTTTAGCGAAAATCCTAAACATTGCGTGAAAAACATTTCTATTCAATTGAGGTTTCCTTCTATTTTTATTCCACATGTTACCAGCAAAACAACGAAAAAGATGTGAAATTTGTCCAACAGAATAATTCGTCGTCAAAGTTTTCAAGAGAATCAACAGCAAAATTTTTTGGATATTTCACAAAAATTAATTTTCGCAAATTAGTATTTCAGGAAGTTTTGCGTATCAATCATCCGCGATTTTAGGCCATAAACGCTAAAAAACGTGAAGGTTCCTTCCCTTGCAAGTTTCTTTCCATGGAAATTTCTTTCCGCGAAAGTTTCTTTCTTGAAAGTAGTAAGCAACAGTTAAAGACCTTCCCCTGCTGCCCTTTAAGTTTTTTTTTTCTCTGAAACCCTATGAAGGTGCATGCATAAAAGTTATAATGAAGTCTTTCTGCTTGCTAATTGTTAAATGAACAAAGTGTTCAGAATAATAAAGTTTAGTACAGACTAAGGAATCTGTATCGTTTTAAGTTCTCTCAATGATGTTTTAGTGTGAATAAGTTTGTAGGTCACTAGATTTCAAATTGTAGCCAAGATACTAACCTAGACAAATGAGAAGATGACACATAAAAGAAAAGAATATGCAGGTTGAATTTTTGATTATTTTCTTGGCTCAATCTCAGAATACTATATATATATATATATATCAATTGCCGACAGGAGGAAAATTCTTTCCACAAGGGTGCTGCCCCATTGTATCGAGCCACTCTTGGTCGGAATCAAACTCCAGTTTGCTGCTTCAGAAACCCCCGCTCAATCCACTGAGCCAAACGGCCCAATTAAATTAGTGAGGTATCTCCGAAGCCAACACTGGAGATCTCACCGTAGCCAAGGCAGTTTTAGTTTCTTCTGTTTCGGCTTAAAGCCTTCATCAGAGCCATTTAAACCATAGATATATAATCATAAGGCAAATGTATATCCTAATATATATATATTAGGTTGGCTTGAAAGTATTGCAAAAATTTTCAGACTAGGATTGTTATTTTGAACTGTTATTAGAGTTCCTTAGAGTTACAAATAGAACCATTGTTTTGCTGTTATTGTGCAGAGTTTAACTCCATACATAGGATCCTTGATTTAAATAGAGAACCACAACCGTCAATAATTGATTTCAACTGAGCATATTTTAGCTTTTTCTCGCATAAGTTGGTGTGGCTCATAAAAGTTTATCTGCCACACCCTGAGCCGGGACCTTTTGGTTTGCTGGCCACCCTGCAATCATGACACTGAGCAAAACTGAAATATAGCAGTTCGAGAAAAAATATTCGCGAGTTTTATCAATGATAATTATAATCGTTTGAGAACCACGCCCGTATCTGTTGTCACGCCAATTTTGTCGGCAAACCACTGGTTTTGCACCCCTCATGAAATTTTCTAGCGACGGCCCTGTGAAGCACTATAGTATATCTATACTGACACACGTCCCTTTCTAGTTGGGTACACTAGGTAGACTATCCTAACATCAAACTGGATCCCAGATCTCCTAACGACAAAAGATTTTGTGAGAGGGCCCAGTGTGATCTTGTTGAGGTATTACACTGTTTTGTCTCAGTTTTTGACAAGCTGTGCTTGTCCTCTTTTTATGGTTTGAAACAAAAATTGCTTTAACACGTCATATCATCCCTCTTGTTTTCATAATCTTTTTGCTTAAAAATATTATTCCTGCTAACGGTCATGCTAACGGTCATGGACCCTCCTTAGTAAATTGTTGGACTCTAAACTTCAATCATTCAGTTAATTTCATTCTTTGATTTTTTTTTGCCCCTCTCTATCGCAGGAGTGCACAAGGAGAGTGTTTAAAGGGCTGATGTGGCTTAGTCTACAATAAATCCCATAATGCACTTAAAACAATACAGTATATATTGCTCTTACCTTTCAGCATCTTGTGCCCCTCTAAATCTTTCTACCCCCCCCCCCCATCCCTAATATGCTCCAGGAGCCCTGCCTCTTGATGTTTCGCTTCGATATTAAAAGTTATAGAAAAGAGTTTGACGGGAATATCAATAATGTTCATTCATAAACTTCATCCAGGATGAAGTTTATGACCAATTGGACTAGTAATCTCCTTATTTGGATTTAGGGGGTATAAAGACAATAAATTTCCATTTCTAAATAAAAAAGTGATTAAAGACATGTCCCAGATATCATTTCGAAACAATTTATATTGGAAACACATTATAATGGAAACAATATCATATATTACGATTGATGGCATCTGCTCCTCCGCAGGGGAACTGACAATGACCGCGCGTGATTGACGACTCTGTTAAACCCCTTCCGCTTTCCTAAAAAATGGCACCCTTGATTTTCGTAATGTAGATGGACATTTAAATATATTCATGCAAAAAAAAATTGGCACGCAAATCGAGCGGGAGTAATAATTGTGGTAAATTACTGGAATCTCCAGACCATAGCCACCTCCACGATTCAACATCTTTCCAACAACTTTCTCCTAGATGCTTCCGACGGAGGGGCTGTAGCCCTTCCCTGGTGCCACCACTGATAACACCTTTTGAATACAAAACTCGGATCTAAAACGTTTGTTTGCACGCCAATGGTCCAAAACGCGTCCGTTTCTCATGTTCTTTGACATTTTTCGACCATGCCGCTACATTTCTGAAATTGACCATCGGACACTAAAACAAACCACTGAAAAGATGATAATAATATGTCATGCTAGATGGAAAATGTTTTGGTGGTTTGATCAGCGTTTCCAAAAAACATATTTCCAATTTTTCGGATTTTTCTCTCTCTGAAAGCGAAAATTTGTCTTGGGTAATGGTCTTCAATTCTGTACCCCACTTCTTACTGAATTCGAAATTTTACACGCTCAACTTTCCAAGCACGATATTTCTGTTTGGTTGGAACCTAACAAATTAAAAACTCGACTAAGCGATTTGGCTTATGCTTTTAGTGGCTCTCCCATCGACCCACTCGGATTTTCTTTTGCATAGAAACCATGTTCAAGCCTTAAAATCTCTATGGTCTAACAATGGTATCTTTATTACAAAATCCTATAAAGGGTCAGGGGGGTAATTTTGAACAAAAAGATAACATCCAAAAAATGGAGACAACTTTCATCGATAAGGAAAAGTTCAAAAAACTGGATGATGTCGAAATACATGATAAAACAGCCTAGCTAGGGCTGAAACTTCAAAATTGTCTTTTGGAGCTTGTCGACTCAAAAGTGTTGACTAACGAAGTTTTCGATAGAAAAAGACCCACAGGCTCATAATAACCACAATTGTTATGGCCTCTCTATAATCGATAAGCCGAATGACTCACTTAGACCTTTCTTCTATGTGATTGGCTGAGCACAACACGAACTGGCTAAGTTCAAAAGCATTCAAAACATTGCATCAAGGATTCTTTTACGTTCGCTGACTTCATGCAAAACTTCAACGTCGAAAACGAAACACACTTCGTGTGTTCTATAGATTTTGATGAGTACAAAATGCTTGTTTCTTCAGCATACATGGTAACTTTTGTGCTTTGCAAAGCACAGGACAAATCATTCATATATACATAAAAAATAGTAGTGGACCGAGGCACGATCCTTGCGGTACATCGCAGTTCACGTTTGTTATTTTTGAAGTATGTCCATTTACTTTATAGAATTGCTTACGATCCTGTAAGTACGATTTAAGCCAATCCAGCTCCTTTTCCTACACTCCATAATTAAAAAGCTTTTGGATGAGAATTGCTTGATCTACAGTATCAAAAGCTTTATTTCAAGTCAATAAATACTACAGATGAAAGGAGTCCTTTGTCAAAATCATCACTACTTTTCAATAAGCACATCAAAACTGAGAGCAGGGCCCAGAAGCCGGATTGATGTGAGTAGAACAACTTATCATCCTCGAAGTATGCGTAAAGTTGGTCGAAGATTGCCTTTCAAAAAGAGCTGAAGCAACCGGGAGCACGGAAATAGGTCTGTAGTTTGACCTGTTTTCAGTAGGCCCCTCTTTATAGATAGGAGCTACTCTAGCAACTTTCCAGTTGTTTGGAAATAAGCCCTCCGAAATCCTTTTTATTAAAAATATGCGAGAACAGGCGGTGAAATGTACGAACAGAAGAATGATGTTGCTATGGGTAACCCGCTGGGATCTGCCTTTGCCAATATCTTTGCAAAAAGCCAGTTGGCTATTTTCAATGTGTGGATGAGCCACATTTGTGGGGTTTTACACTCGGAGGAGTTCATTTTGCCCAAAACAAAGAAAAGTCAACCTTATCAAAACGTTAACTCACAGGGCACTGAGGATTCTTTCAAGCAAAAATTGGATTCGGAACTTGACAAGCTGAAAAATATTTTTTTCTGGAGAATGGCTATCCAGAGGTCATGTATTCTTACGCAAGGGAAAAGATCGCAAATTTTCGGCTTTTCAAAATTTCGGTCCACGAAAGTGCCCACTTCATCTAAAACTACCATGGATCGGTAACAGTTCCTTGCATTTTGACAACCAGATAAAACAGGCCATTAAAAAATTGTCTCTTCCCTGTTAATCCTTGTATTGTTTACAGTACCAAAATGGCCTCTCCATCCATTGAAAAGGACTGCGTTCCTACCACCCAAAAGAGTTCCGTTATCTATGAATTTACGTGCCAGTGTAATTATTTGCAAAACCAGATCGTCGTTCCATTTTTGGAATCCATCTTCACAAGCATGAAAAACCGCTATTGTGTAGACAGGAAGAGTTATTTTTCACCCTGAGACTCCATTGACAACATTTTCAATGTGCTTTCATCTGTGTAGTGATTTCATCTTGTGTAGCAGGGTCTTAATTAATCTTTACGTTAATGTGGTATGAGTAAAAAAATTTTCATCTGTTTTTCAGAGTTTCAGCTGTACTGCAAAATTGGGTTTTATGTGTCAAAAGCAATTAAAGACCTGTGGTTATAAGTATAAGCTTTTAACGTAAAGCAATAAGCAATAAGTATACATCTGGGTGAATGCAAATTAAGGTTAACAGTGAGAAATTTCATTAAGATCGCTTGAAACTGTGTGGCTATTTCTATGCAAAGAAAACTCCTGGGGTCTACCCTTTGTTCAGCAGCAGATATTAGAGGGTTAGAGGTTGGTAAAAGACCCACTAAGCGTTTCCAATCAGTGGGTTCCAGACAAAACTATAACTGTAAAAAGACGGTCGTTTTTTAAGCTCTTGGACCAAATGTATGTAGAAGAGGATGTTGCTTTATCGATTAGCGTGAAAAATTTGCCAAAGAGTTAAGACAGATAATTGAAAGAGCTAGTCCTAACCAATATTTGTAGCTCATTTTTTTGTCGTCATGCAACTCTGCGAAAAACATAGAGATATTGCAGGGAACGAATCTCGGAAAAGCTACTGTAAAATACCGAACACTTTTCCCCCCGACAAGAAGCCCGGGACTTTTAGTTAGATGAATAAACACGAATACACGTCAACGTCATTACTGAAACAGAATACAAGGACAACGAATTATATTCTTAAAATACTTAAGTGTATTTCTTAGATTTAGTTTCTAATGTTTTTACCTAGATCATATATACATGGTTATCTTGGTTCCTTCTTATTGAATCTTCTGGGGCTATTCTGGCGTCACCAGATTGAAAGTTTTGAGGCTTCAAAAACTTTAGCTCTCTGTTAAAAGGGGGCTGCGTCAGGCAAGTCAGGATACAAAAGGGAGCGTCCTAACTACTTGGTAAATGAAGAATGTAAGGTTATTTGATAAAAAAAAGGAAACAGGTAGAAAATCGGTCCTATGTCATTCCATCTAATTAGAAATTTCGTTGCCTATAAATAGTTTTGAAATTGCTTTGAAAACCCTAGATTTCTGGGACTTTTCTCGGTCTCTTTCGAAAGGATCAAGTCTTTGTAGTAAAATTTATCGAAGAAAGCCCCACCTCCCTATGCGCGATTCAAGTCAGTTGAAAGAAAGATGTTGCTCACCTATCGAAGCATTGCTCGCGTCAAATTCTTTCTGCATTGATACATAAATGGTCCCAAATGTACGGTTGAAGCCATATCCTGTAAACTGAATCAAAAAAGCAAATCCGCAAACAAGATAACGGAATTTACTACTTTCAACTTCTTCTTCTTCAACTTTGTTCATCTTTTTGTGAAAATAATTCCAATATGACTTGATCAATACAAAATTCTCCAGGCACCCGATCCAGACAGGAAGAAAAAAAATTACCATCCAAATAAGGCCAGCTCAGTTACGCAACTGTTACTACTGTCTTTGCTCTTTTCTTTGCACCACTACGCTCATTCTGAATGTAAAGCCTCCCGCTCTGTGAGCATGCTAGTTTGGTACCGATTCTCAGTAACTATTGAACAAAGGGAATTTCTGGAAGAAACCTGAACACATTTGATATGGGGCATTTTGACCATGGTTATTGCAAATCTGGCTGATTCCCAGCGAATTGTCCAATTTCAGGTGCGTTTTTAGAATTGCGCTATCTAAAGTCTACAAAATTCTTCAAAGAACGCCCCTGGAACAGCATTTGACTATTCTCTTTTGACAATATGACGTCATTATGGTTTCATAATCGAGAAAATTCACATCAAATGTTTAGAATTGGCAATATCTAAGTTTCCCTTTGATCTTCCTCTTTGATGTCTCTAAAATTCATCAGAAAGCATCCAAAAGATAGAGTAACAAAATAATTTCAATCCATACTCATTATTTAAATGGCTGATTAATGTCCTTTTCGGATATTGTTTCATTGCTTTACTTGAACTTAAATTTATTAATGGAAACACTCTAAAATGACTTCCATCAATAGCTATCAAGTGAACCAAGTGATCATGCATGGTTTGATTGGAGATTTGTTGTTTCACATATGAGGTCATAATTTTTGATTACGTCACTTGCTTTATGTTTGCATAGTCATCAGAAGAAGTAAATTCGATGTCACCATAAAACATTATTGTAGTGTTAAACAGGACCTTACATTTAGGTTTGAAGGAAAGAAAGCTCCTAATATAAATCAACTTTTGCGAGAATTGATTGATTCTACATAAGGAAGATAAGGTGACTGGAATGACCTTTCCTTACGAGGAAATCAATCGTAGGGTCCCACACAGTCAACATTCTATTTATTCAGCTCAATACACAATGATATGTTGCCCTATAGTAAGACATTTGTTCAGAAGAAGCCGCTGTAATTCCTTAGGATCTCACTATTGCAAGAGATAGGATAGATCAAGGTTAGGTAAAGCAGCCAGCAAGGTTGGCGGTAAGAAACATGATGCAAAAACTGAACACTTGGGATAGCATGAAAAACAATCTAGAATATTCACAGCATCGATTAAGAACCAAGGATTTTAACATGGCGATTTGAAAGGTGTTGCAAATTTTTTAAATATGTTTTTCAAGAAGACAAAACTAAACACGTTTTAACCCTAAAACATGATCGTAAGTAATATCAAAGGGCCACACCAGCCCAAAAATGTTTTCTGAGATTTTTACATAAATTGGTAGTTAGTCGAGAAAAAGAAGCTATCGTGAATTTTTTTTCGAAGAGCTTAACTCGTTTTCCAGACATAGACGTTCACAGTTGAGAATCACTGTAAATATATGACAAAATTTTTTTCGGAAAAGCACTTTGTGACGTGGAAAGGGTTATTGTTTCAACATTCGGCGCTACTGTTATACGTTCGTACTGAAATTTGCACGACTTGGTAGAGGCTTGGAACAGGCGATTCATGTCGAAATTTCGGTTGTCGTTTTATTCATTTTCCTTCAGATTGCGATTGATGTTCAGCGGAGTCTTCTAGCCAACATGGATTAGTAATTCGACAAATCAGAAATGGAAACTTCAACCTGAACGCAAATCCACATCTTGGCAACGCAGCAAGCTTTTCAAAATCGAATGCTTCATTATTTTTCAGATTTGAATGGAATGCTGACCGAAGGCATTTCTTATTGTCGTCTCATCTCAGGGATCTCCAGGGAGGTGAACAATAATTGATGTCTTACCGCATTAGAAGAAGAACCCCATTCACAAGATGGAAACTTTCCCGTAAGTCACAATTTATCCTTATCCAGGCACCGTGGAGCGGGGGTACAGCTGGAGGAGCTTTAGCTAAAAATGCTAAATATTATGTAATAAACTACCAGTAAAGCCTTTTTTGTACGGTTTTAGTCCACCCCCCACATTTTAAAACCCCCACTTTCTTTACAGGCTGTAAATAAGTCGCCAATTCCTACTTTAGGAGAAAAGTCTTTAACGATAGACCTCGGACTTTGCCGCACGTACAGGTGGATTTTTATTATTGCTGAAATACCGTTCCCTTTTCTTGGCGCTGATTTCCTTGCAAATTTTGGCCTCAAAGTTGATGTTTAAAATCGGAAACTCATTGACACTACAACAAATTTGACCATTCAAGTTATTTTGTCCGCCAACAGCTAACCTCATCCTATGCTGGTGACCCCTGATACTACTTCGCCATACCAAGCATTATTTCAAAAGTATCTTGACATTGCCCGTCCTTCATACAACTAATCAAAAGTAAAGCATACAGTCACCCATCCCATCACAACTACAAGCCCTCCTGTATTTGCTCGTCCCCGTCGTCTTATTTCTGAACGTTTGACCATTCCCAAAGCTGAATTTGTTCATAGGTTACAACTGGGCATCATTCGGCCGTCAAAAAGCAGTTGGTCTTCTCCGTTGCATATGGTTCCTAAGGCTACTCAAGGCGACTGGCGACCTTGCGGTGATTATCGTGGCTTGAACAATGCTACAGTTCCCGATCGCTACCCCATCCCACACATTCAAGATTTCTCTTCATCTCGGCATGGAAAAACCGTTTTCTCAAAAATTGATCTTGTGCGTGCCTAACATCAGATTCCAGTCGGGCCTAGTGACATTCCTAATACTGCTATAACAACTCCCTTTGGGCTATTTGAGTTCGTTCGCATGCTATTCGGATTATGTAATGCAGCACAGACCTTCCAGCGCTTCATGCACCATGTACTTCGTGGTTTGGATCTCGTTTTTGCTCACAGTGCTTTACTTATCGCCAGTTATTCTGAAGCAGAACATTTGTTGCATCTTGACATTTTATTCTCTCGTTTTTCCGATCATGCTATTGTCATTCACCCTACCAAATGCATTTTTGGCCAATCTTGTATTGACTTCCTAGGACATCATTTTTCATCACAAGGAATCATACCCTTTTCCACAAGAGTTGTAGCAATCAAAGATTTTCCTCCTTCTACTTCGCTCAAAAAGCTTAGCAAGTTCCTTGGATTGATAAACTTCAACTGTCGTTTTGTGCCTTGCTGTGCTCATTCAATACAGCCTCTCACCGACCTTCTCTCTGCCAAGTCTAGCAAGGAACCGTTCCAACTGACTGTGGATTCATCATCTACATTCTCAGAGGTCAAAACAGCACTTTCCCAGGCTACTCTTCTTGTTCATCCACCACCAGTAGCACCATGCAGTGTAGTTGTTGATGTTTCGAATGTGGCTGTAGGAGCAGTGCTTCAAAAATTCCCCAATGGTGCCTGGCAACCTAATTCTTTCTTTTTAAAGCGCCTGCAACCAGCTGAAACGAAGTACAGCACATTTGGACGAGAACTACTCTCCGTCTACTAAGCTATCAAGCACTTTCGGTACTTTTTGGAAGGACGCGCATTTCATGTTATGATAGACCACAAGCCACTGCTCCATCCACTGTGTTCTTCGTCTTATCGATATTCGCCACGGGAAATTCGCCATCTTGATTTTATCTCTCAATTCACCTCTGACATACGACACGTAAAAGGCCATCAGAATGTGGTTGCTGATGCTCTTTCTCGCATTGAGCTCAATTCCTTACTCAATATTCCAACCCTTGGCTTTGTCACACCGTCTGCAGCTAAACAGCAAGATTCTGAATCCAAACATGTACAGTCAAACGCCTTAACCTGAAAGAGTTTCCTTTACCGGCAGATTCTGAAACCATCATTTGTGACATATCAACCGGCACTCCTCGCCCATATGTTTCTGTCTGTTATTGCCGCCTTGTGTTTAATCACCTCAACTCACTTGCATATCCCGGTATTTGTGCAACACAGCGACATATCAGACAACATTACATCTGACCTACAATCCTTGCCAAAATTTATGGTACACCAAGCTAAAATTTTGCATAACTTCAGTAGCATCCCCCTCTCCCCCTTGAAACAATGTTGAATAACAACAGTTTCAAAGCTTGAAATTGGTCCAATGTCAGTTTATTAGCTAGGGTTAGCTAGAGTTAGCAATAGGCTTTTCAGCCAACATTGTTTTTGGGGGGAGGGGGGATATTTCTGTATCTTATAGCCGGAAACCTTTATTTCTTCAAAATCTTTCATTGGTCGCAGGGTGTTCCAAGGTCTTTTGTCAAGGATTGTAGCATCAACAAAGACATCGGCAATTGGACTCGGTCCTGTATCCCATGCCAACAGGTTAAAGTCGCCCGTCACATGTTTCCCCCCATTGGAACATATCTTTCTACTTACACACGTTTCGATCAAATACACATTGACCTTGTTGGCCCTCTACCACCATCGAATGGCTGTAAATATCTTCTTACTTGCATCGCTCGCTACATTCGTTGGCCAGAGGCGATTCCAAATTCAGATGCTACCTCAGAAACCGTCGCTCAAGCTTTTGTTTCACGTTGGATCGCAGTCTTCAGTGTTCCTTAAAGATAACAACTGATAGAGGAGCTCAGTTTGAATCAGCTCTCTTCCGTTCCCTCGCTGATTTACTTGGAATCAGACGTATTCATACTACTTATTACCACCGTTGCGCTAATGGCATGGTTGAGCGTTTCCATCGACAGCTTAAAGCTTCAATCAAAGCTCGACCGGATTCCACAAGATGGATCGACCTTCTTCCACTCATTCTCCTCGGACTTCGGACAACGATTAAAACTGACCTCGGTTGTTCACCTGCCCGACTTGTTTATGGTTCCACACTTCGTCTTCCAGGTTAATTCATATCTCCGACATTTGATGTCACAGCCCTTGATCCCTCTGTTTTTGTTGATCGTCTACAAAGTTTTATGCAACAACTAAAACTAACTCCTCCCCGTTCTCAAGAAGCTTACACGTACATCCCAGCTAATCTTCCATCTTGTACACACCTTTTTGTTCGCCATGATGATGTTCGAAAGCCGTTTCAACCTACATATGACGGTCCTTTCAAGGTTCTCGAGCGCTCTGACAAACATTTCCTCGTAGATATCAATGGAAAACAAAAAACAATAAGCATAGATCGTCTGAAAGTTGCTTATACCGATGCAGATCACTAACGTTCAACTGCCAGAAACACATCATCTTCATCAAACCATGCTTCAACGACGGCCAAACCTGTAGAAATCCAAATACCTGGTAATTCTCGGACAACATGTTCTGGGAGACAAGTTTATTTTCCCGACAGATATGGACATACCTGAACATTCGTACATACATTTTATTAACTTTTGTTCCAAATGCTTTTCTCGACCCTTTTATCTAGGGGAAGGGGGGGGGGGGAGATATAACATCTAAGCTTTTGTTCGTTTTGTTTTGTTCCCGCTGTGGTTTTCATTCTACGCTTCGCTGCTTGTATATACCGCTCTGTTCATTTAGAAATAGTTACTTGGTTTGGAATAAGATAATAACACGACGTACGTCTCTTACTATCGACTTCGCTCTTCAATAATTTGTCCTTCGAGACTGTTATTTTATTAACAACACAGGTTGTTAAAACCCTTGTCTTCATGTTCTACCATTTTTGCTATATACCTCGCTACCATTTGTTTGCGATAACACAAATGACAAAACGCTAATAACTACAAAACGGCTAGAGATATGAAAAAATAATAACAGATTCGTTTTCAGGAGGTCTGATTACATCGTGTTCTGA